AAATGAGCATAAACAGACATGCCAAGTGCCACACACATCACACAGATTCAACATGCAAGCTAATATTGTGCCAAAACAGAATTCTACAACAATCTGACCAAACAGCTTCGGCAATAAAAGACAAAACAACATCACACCGGCTCACCAAAAATTCAACAACACACATTAAACCTCGTGCAATCCAATCCTCGAGCTATGCATGTGTACAAAATAACATAATGAGAGTAACGAACGCAAGGATAATGCAAACAAAGAAAATTAACATTCAATGCCGATCAAACGAAGACGCATACACAAGCACGAACACACAAACCAGCAAGTACAACCAGTGCGAATCAGGAAAAGCCCTATACGATAGAACTAGCACCTACGAACTGGAAAACCGTCCTGTCCCTATAGCCCAAAATCTATCTAACACTTCCGTCTACATCACTCAATCACAACACACAACACATCGGTCAAACAAGCTGCCGCATGCATCGCGGACAAACACCGGTAAGCCGCGCGGACGATAGCTCACGCCAAAAAATATCGCACAGATCATGTACAAACGGCGGGCAAAAACAAGTACTACTCAGTGCGCGGTCCTTCCAACGGACCACAACAAAACATATCTAACTTACACGAAAACAGAGATCCAGCGGCTCAACACACACCAGTAGAACGATCTATCAACTCCTCCGAACGCCACAACAAATAACATGCAAAGATTCATCGCTCCATTACACCGAACAAGTCCAACTACAAACGCCACACGCAACCATTCGAAATAGAAATACAACAGTGACGCCGCACACGTCTATTCAACCAAACTAACAGTAAAAAAACAACCAATTACAGAAACAACCCGCTCCATCAACACCTTCAGGAGGAATCAGAAAACAACTGTACATCCACAACAATCAAACAGACAAAATACATCTGCCAATCACATAACACGACATATCCAAATCACGAACACAGATCAAAAGAATGCGCTCATCACCACCAACCATCATCATCTCAATAACAAGAATAATACTGACTAATAGAATGCGTTGGCATCATCACATGCACAAGCACCTCTGGGAAGGAAAACCTTTCCGATCGAGCGCTTCGCCAATACGATCATTCCACCAACTATCTCCCATTCACATGATCGACAATGAACACAGTCCATCCATCAGCCACACGCAATGACAACATACAAATAGGGACAGTGCCACACAAGCAAACAAAGCTCACATTACACCATGCAACAATCTGCAATAACACGGGAACAACACAACACAACACAACCACAATGTACGGACACGTGAGAACAGCTCCTGCTCCGGAAATATCTAATCAACGTTAATCAGTTCAAGGGCAATCGTGTTCATACGTCCATAGATATTCCTACGCACACCTTCAACGAACTCATTTTTATACAAGATTTTCAAATGATGTAACTGACCCAGTCAGCCTAGATGAGCTCATCGTTATGTGGGGACAGTACATGAAATATTACTCGTCGAGTCCTACGTTTTGAACGATTGGCGTTAATTCGGAATATCTGTGCGCTCCCGTGCTCCATTCGAAAAGGAAGTGGTACAAATTAAATTTTTCTTTATCTGGTTCCACAAGTATTCGTATATATTTACAAGATTAGGACATAGGTTGAAAGAAATACACATGGTACAGTAATCGTCATGAGAAGAAGGATGAGACGCATTCGGTCTCTCTGTCTCTTCGCTGGGCTTCTCAAATGGTATATGCAAACCTGTGTTGGGATCGCGTATGCAGTCTTGAACAATGGTATCACACAAAT